ACTTGAGAAAATCTAACCCAAAAAGCAGTTTTTAATAACAAATTAATCTATAATAAAACTTTTTTTAATTTGGTAAGAAAATTCCCGGTTTTTCCTGGCTAAATTAAATTCCCGGCTATTTATCGGTTTCCCCGCGCAATTGCGGTAGATACTCTGTCAAATGTATTATATTAGAAACTAAAACTCGTCAAAGACTGGTACTGGTATATAACATATTTACTTAAAAAAGAGTATTTTTGTAGCCATCTGCAGATTTATTTATGGCTAAAACTTAAAATCAAGTAAATTTAAGTTTGTTTAAAAAAATAAACCGGATAAAATTTGAACAACGCCGGGAATTTTGTTAAACAAACATAGAGACCTAGCTTAACTTTTATCTTTACATTGTTCAAAACATCTTTAGAAGTTAAATCTAAAAGTAAAATAACGTAAATTTTTACCACCTAAGCTTATCCAGTAGCATAATAACTTTAATCGATAATAAATTTAAGGTATTTGTCGCGTAAATTCGTTTTCGACAGAATTTTTTTAAATTTCACATAATTATTCTTTGGATATTTATCTACAAAATAAGGCCTATTAAAATAAAATTGACCGTCTGTAAGTCTCGAAAAATGAAATCAAAGTTTCGATTTTTAACATGTACGGTATAGGAAAACCATATGAAAACCACAGATTTTTAATTTTTGCACTTATACTAATCGACAGATTTTTTAGAAAAACTAAAGTTTTATTTATTGAACCAAAATGAACTTTTATAAAAAAAATGAAAATTTTTTACCGTCTTGTTTAAAAGATATTTAACATCAAACTTGAAAAATTATTTTAACATTTACTGTAAATGACAGGTGAATTTGTAAACGTGGCAATAGCGCTTGTTAAATACTACAGCTTGTCTGCTACTTTTGGCGCGAAATTTTAAAGACGGCCATACGCCAAACTTGCGACGTTGCCACGATCGTTTTTCATGCGAGAGGTTATGAATATACTTTGAGAACATCTGTGTGTCAAACTGTACGTCCGCAAAAGTTTTTCGGAAACTCGCATTCATTAAATCGTTTCATAAGTACAGTCAACGGATACAAACTTTTGATAGTGACCAGTCGCGCGACAAATACCTTAATCGATTTTTTGATATCGAAAATATTTTTATACTTACATCTTAGTCATAGGATTTTTTGTGCAATATTATGCTAAAATGTGACTATAAATAACATGTCATACTTAGTTGTAGATAGTTTAAAAGCAGTCCATTAAAAAATATAAAATTTGGAAATTTGCAATTTTTTGAATTTTTTGAAATCGTTTTTATACTTACTTCTTAGTTATAAGGCAGTAGTTTTTGAAAAATAAGGCTAAAATTTGACTAAATAAAATGTAATACTCAATTATAGAGAGTTTAAAAGTAATTCATAAAAAAATAGAAAATTTGAAAAATTTTGATTTTTGAAAACATTTTTATACTTGCATCTTAGTTATAGGACATTATTTCTGGCAAAACTATTCTAAAATGAGACTAAATAAAATGTTATACTCAATTATAGAAAGTTTAAAAGCATTTAAAAAAAAATGTAAAATTTGAAAATTTTGGATTTTTTAATTATTTGAAAAAATTGAATATCTCCCGTTCTAATTAATATTTTTCAAATCTTTAAATTTATAAACCTTCCTTGGCCCAAGGTCTAACATTCTGTCAAATTTCGTTTTAAACGGTTCAGCCGTTTTTAAGTGATGCGCGAACAAAGATTCTGTAACATACATACACACATACATCCATACATACATACATACACGAAATTTTTTATTGGTATATTTGGAATCCTTGATACTCAAAACGAATAATTATGTATGAAATTTAATGTTCTGAGCAATGTACAGACAAAAGTCTGATTTTATATTTATAGATAGATATGTAGATAGATAGATTGCCTGATGAGGACTTAATCAAAGTCGAAACTTGTAGCAATTTATACAATTTTTGTAATAAACGAACATCTTTAACCGTAAAAGGCCTCTAAATACTATTATCAATATTATTAAAAAACGGTTCTTAAATAAATTTATTAATTAATATTTAATTTTGTCAAGTTTATCTTGACTACAGACTTTTAAAATGGAGTTCAAGTAGGAACGCCATTTTCGCACTTTTTGCCGCTTCTGCCACTTACTCATGGAACGCCATGCCGCCGAAGTGGTTGAAGCAGTATTTAAAAATTGTACTAAAGTTTGTTTTCTTATAAATAAATTTTATTTTTATTTAAACAATTTTTATAGTCTCTTAAAAGTCCCTTATTTTTAATTTCCAGTCCCCTATTTCCCCCTTTTTTCCTAAAATAGGGCAATGTGGAACCTGAAACTTAAGGAAAAAAATATTTAACGCAAACAGATGCTATATATCTATAACGGCCGTTTCCAGAATGGATAGACGCAAAGATGACGTGAAGCAAAACTAACGCGCGCGTTGGTTCTGACGCAAAGAACGTAGTGTTGCCAACTGCTAGCAGCCTGTATACTCATTCTTTTAAAAATTCGGTGTTTCGTGTAGATTAATTTAAAATTTGTTAAAAATAATTATTTAGTAGTAAATTCATTGCTCTTGCTACAAAACATTTACAAAATTTATAATTATTTAAATACTCTTTAAATCTGAATTAAGGAGCATTCAGACCTCTGCAGACTGCCTGCCTGCGCAGGCAGAAGATCGTTCACACCTCACTTTTCCCGTTGAAAAATGAGGGAAGATTTGAATTTTAATAGATATTTAAATCTTCCCTCATTTTTCAACGAGAAAAGTGAGGTGTGACCGATCTTCTGCCTGCGCAGGCAGGCAGCCTGCAGAGGTCTGAATGCTCCTTTAGTTAACAACACTACAATCCTTGCGTTAGAACCAACGCGCGCGCCAGCTTGCATCTATCCATTCTGAAAACACCTAAAGTTGCCTCTACATAGCGAAAAAAATAAGAAACGTGCGACGCGGAAAAAATACATGGAAATTTTTCGCGTCTGCGTCTCGCGTTTCTCACTTTTTTTTACGTGACGCGATCTGAAGAAAGGGACCTTAGAAGCAAATCACTTTAAGGTTATGTTAGTGTTAGTTTTTTGTTGATTAAAAGTTACTTTTTACTTATTGCAAATTAAAATCAGTATTTATTAAATATTTTAGTTGTAATAAAGACTTAAACATCAACGATTTACATTGACAGTTGACCCTTTTTTGTATTTTCATTTAAAAAATTTCAATCATAACCTATAATTTTTGCTTCTAAGGTCCATTTCTTCAGACCGCGTCACAGATACAGATTTAAGCTGTACGCGAGACGCAAACGCAGTGACTGAGATATTCAGTCTTAGCGCCAAGATAAATTATTTCGAAGCTATTACAAAAACTCTCGAACAAAGATTTTCCGTGCGAGAGTCTTCGATTAGTCGCTTCAAATATCAGCAACTAATTTTTTTCCTTCGTTATGTTACGATCCTAATTATTATAATTTCCCTAATGTTTCCCGATTTTATTTTAAAATTAATTAAAATAGGGACGGGGTAGTAAATAACAAGAAATTACTTTAGTTGAACAAATATATGTGTATTTTATGAAATAAGATAAAATTGATGAAAATAAGAGATGGACATAGGCTTTCTAATGTGAGTCTTAGAGTGGTTGATTGTTTACCTTGGGACAAAGGGTGATGCTAGACGTTCAGGTATAATGGCACTGGTCCTTTAATGGTTGACTAATTGGATGCAGTATTGTGTCTCGAGAAACAGGAACACTCTTTTCAAATGGCAAATTTGACTTCCAGATCGACTTTCCAAAATGCACTTTTGAAATATACGTAGAGTAAAGGACAACTACTGAAACTGGGTTTAGGGCACTGTGTCGTGAAGAACCACTTGTTATAGATAAAATTTTAAGACTGACTTGTGCAGAGCACCACTTCTCAATTTGAGACTTATAATATTGATGACTACATTTTCTTGACTGCTTTTCTAGACTGATTTCTTAGACTGATTTCTTAGACTGAACTGCTGTTGATGGTCTGGCTCTTCTTATACCCAAATTTCCCTGTGTATTTGAAGAAACTGTTCATTTTTCCATGTGTTTGAAGAATCGTTCCACTTTGCCATGCATTTGAAGAATCGTTCCATTTTGCCATGCATTTGAAGAATCGTTTCATTTTACCATGCATTTGAAAAACCCTTTGTTATAAGAACACTTGTGGTGACTCATCATTAGATCGCACGTGTACATTCTCTTATTACTCATATTATTTTATAATTTTGTTATTAATTGTTACAATTTGTTAATTAAAATTGTTTAATTTTGTTGTTAATTATAATTATTTAAATTTGTTATTATTTGTTATTACAATTTTGTTGTTGTTGATATTTGTTATATTTAACTATTTATTACATTTTGTTATTATTTGCTAATATTTATTATTACAATTTATTATTGTTTACGTTTATTATTACAAGTTATTATTGTTTATGTTTATTATTGTTTATTATTATTTCTTAAAGATTGTTGTTAAGATTGTTATATTTAACTTATGTATTACAATTATTGTTTATGTTTATTATTACAATTTATTATTGATTATTATTAATATTTATAGTTATTATTTATAATAATATGTAAATAACAATTTTGTTATTAACTTTTATTATGATTATTACTATTATTATTAATTATTATTAATATTATTAATTAACATGATTATTATTATTAATTATTAAGATTAATTATTATTCTACATATTATTATTGAAAATAGGTTACGGTGACGTAACAGTTATGATGTACTAATAATGTATAGCAATATTAAAATTTATAGTATTTATAAATAGAAAATTTAAATAAAGAAACAGATTGTTAACGACATAAAAATAAAAACTTTTACTCCAACTTTGTAGAGGCTTTCTTATTTCATTAACAATAATGTTAAAAGTTTCGCTATTTCTGAAAATATAGAGACATTAAGAAAAATTGTTTTTTTACAGTTGAGTGAAGACAGAGAACAGAAGCCAGTACAAGAACGTAAAATATCAGTTGGAAACTCAGCTTTTAAAAATCATTCATCCGTTGCGCCTCCTGTATCTCCTTCTACATCGTCGACAATAGCGACTTCTCGAACGAATAGCCTACTAAATTCAACAAATTCTCTTACTAATAACGTACATGTAAATAATCAGAAGGTAGGTCCACCTTACTCTGTGGTTAATATAGATGCGACTCTAACTAATCAAATTCCAAGAAAAATCTTCGAAGCATACGATGATCCAAAGGACGTATCTTTCGATCATGATGAAAATAAATATCAAAGAAAATCTGCAATTGAATGGTTCTTGCGATGGTGGAAATTGATATCAAGGTCTCCTGCACGTCGAAGAAACAGTCCTGGAAGTTTATACAGAAGGTACGTGTTATTAGCTGTTGGTGGATTCATCGCCTTCATTTTTGTCGTTATCCTTTTTTCCTGGCTCGGAAAAATGGCGACTGATGGTGATCCTTCTTTCAATGTCTTCGAAAACCGTCAAATCAATGTCGAGAATAATGATATTGAGAAATAAATTATTGTTGTACTGGTTGGATGTGAGCAATATGTAAATGTTAAATTGCTGTTTTTGTAACACGTTTCATAAACTTGTTAGTCAAGAATTATTTTTTATTCTACAAAGTTTATCGACTATATTAAAGATGCATGAAAAAGGAGTACATTAAAAGAGGTAATCACCTAAAATATTTTAATTTGCGAATCTATTCATAAAAGATTAATCATCCGGAATGATTATATCAGTAGAAGATGTGTTGGTCTACATTATATGTTTATTGTTGAGGGAGATTCAACAATAAAAATGCAATAATTAATCTATTAATGAATCTTTATTAAAACTAAAAAAAACTTGTGTGGACAATGTAAAACATAGTTTTAAAGAAGAATCATTTTGCAACAAGGATTTAATACATCGATTTAAATTTTGCAAACATTAGCCTGGCCATTTTTGTAAAATTATTTAATATCAATAAGTGCCGAGCTGAAAAAGTTTCCTTTTCATCTAAAAAAACAAATACAAAAATAATAAAGTGAATGTGTGAATAATTAATGGACCCAAAAACTGATTGAATGTGAAAAAAGAGATTTTATTAATTTTTTGCAGTAATTTTCAATGTTTCTTTAAAGAAAATGGTTTTTTTCTGTGTAGCTATACCAAAATATAATATATATTATTATATATAAGAGACTTCTTTTCCTAAAATTTTTTTTTTTAATTCAAAAATTGTTGAAGATACGCCATTTTCAATTGTAATATTAATTATATAATATTAATTAATGAAGATTTTTTAAATATCCGAAATGAAAAAAATCGAAAAACTGAGTTTATTCAAAATTTCATGTACCGATTTTTTCTTTTTTGTCTTAAAATTATTGTATGGCTTTACCGAAACGATACTAAAAAAATGGGATGTGCAAGAACTTTTGGCTTTTTATTCGAAGCTCACCTTGTTGCTGCGCTAGTCTTTTTTTGCAAAAACTTCAATATCTCCTGAACCAGATGAGTCTTCATCAATTTTGTTTTATTAAATTAAACGTGAATTCATAAGGATTCCAAATATGTTAATAACATTTTTCTTAGAGAGGAGTAAATAATTAAAAAAAAATTTTTTTTTAAATTTTTTTATTTACATTATTTTTATTTCAAAGTACACATTTTTACCTGAAAAATGTGTAAACTTCATAAAAATCCATAAACAATAGTCCGAGATATTCAAAACTTTATGAAATTAATATTAAAATTAAAAATGTCAATAAAATCTCTTTTTCTATAATATTATTAAGTTTTTGGGTCTATTAATTATTTATAGATCAACTTAAGTATTTTCGTTTTTGTTTCTTTAGGTAAAAAGGAAACTTTTTCTACCCGGCGCTCAATGATATCACCAGATTAAAAAACATCTCAACAAATCGCGGCCAGGCTAGCAAACATTCCATTCTCTTTTTTTATATTGTCACTAAAGAACTCCTAATTTGCATATTTCTTAAAACTTAAAAATTCTATTATTTTACGAAAAGACTCTGACAGAGAATTTCTTCATATAAACCATTTTAATAACTTGCTTAAAGTTTTTCATAATTTTATATTCGGCATCCATTTACACCGCAAGCATATCATAATAACTGGCGAATGCCTTTGCCAAGTAGCAATTAACAGGACTGTCACTTAACAGAAAAGCATTTCACCGACCTGAAAAATTGACTTTTAACACATTTAACACCCAACAAAATTGATTTGTTAAGAACTCAAAACGATTTTCATTTTCTACATGTATTGAGTTGTAATACGTTACGATCGCCAATAATGTTGTGTATACACCCACACGGAAAAAATTTGGGAACTACAGAAGCACTCAGAGCTTATCCATTTATTCTTGGACAAGCGATATCCCAAATGGGGAGCTCTGGTGTACCCAAAAGTATAGCAGACGCACCTCAGTGGACACCAGAGCTCCAAAGTTAGGACTTCAGTTGAACAAAGACAGCAGTACAAAATCTGTACAAGATTTTGCGCTTCTGGAGTCCCTAAATTTTTCCTTAAAATATTAAAAGAAAACTGGCTTAATACTTGAGGACATTCCTGCCACAGTTCAACTGATAACTGTAGTTAAGGGGGGAGTCTGGTCAAACCGAGGGTTTTTTCCAAAGTATTTTTTCTAAAGATATAATATATTTTTATTAACTAAAATTTTTTACATATAAGGGAACATATTCAGAAGAAAACGGACACATTCTCATCCGCGCTTTGCTTGCAAGTTTCAGCGCGCCTCGGGGCGCGCGAATTTTGGTCGTCGCGCTCCGAGGATTGTTGCGCGCTTCGAGCGCAAATAGCTCGCAGTCATCCACGACCGTTGTGCATTATTTGCGTTCTTTTCCTTTTTTCTATTATACGATTCATGGAATTATTTTTTCTTAAAGTCACTACGACTTTAAGGATTACATTCTCATCATATATTTTTGTTTGCTGATAATTGCGAGATTAAGTGAACTTAAATGCAAATTTTTGTTCTTGCTGATCGAAAATGTGAAATTATTTTAACTACTAATTATCTTCGCAGAATCATGGTTTGTTGAAGAAGCTACAATATTTTAAAAATACAAGTCGGGTTACAGTGACAAGGGAACGTTCATAAACTACGTAGCACGTCTAGGGGGAGGGGGATCAAGCAATTGTCTACCATAAGAGAAAAAAATGGCGCTAATACATGTAATTGCGTCCACGTGGGGGGAGGGGGGGTTAGAATTTCCAAAAAATTGGTCTACGTAGTTTATGGACGTTCCCCAAGCCTTAAGCCGCTCACTGCTACTTGACTAGTATTATCCCTTTCAACCACGCGTTCGTCCCCTTATTGCAGCCAGCCCTTCATTTGTAAATAACAATTATTTGTATAAACTTCTGCTCAAATTGATCAAATCATAAAATATCTTCATGTTTTTATAAACAACTTAATTATTTGCAAAATTAAAAAATAACCATAGTTTTTAGGTGCTTTACCTAAGAAAAATAATAAAATAATAATAACTACTGAGTATACTTCCTATGAAATTCAATGAAATTCGAGGGGTAGAACATATAAATAATTCAAATTGTTTATAAAATTATTATTAAAAATATGAAATTTTTAAATTTACAATCATGAAAAAACATGTCAAATAATTAAATTTTTAAATATTTCAAAATTGAATGACTTAGAGGCATGTAATGCATAAATATCGATGAAAATCTCTTTAATTATTAATTTTAGGCTTTTTCAATGCAAACTAATCAAAATCTGACAAGAAAAAATTTACTAAGGTATAGTTGACCTCTAAAAAATGAAGATTTCACCAAAGAAAAAAAAATTTTTTTTTGTTTAATTTTTTATTTATTCGTAACTGAATAAGGAATATAATTAAAGGAAAATAACTAAGCATTTTTTATTCATAATGTGAATCGCAGTTATGTCACGTAAAAAGTAGCTTTACGTCCACACCAAAAAAAAGTGTTGCACATCACCCCAAATATGATATTTTGCGCAAAATGATTTGTACGCAATACAATGCAATGGAAACACAAAATATAAACAGATATTTAAAAACACTTAAAAAAGCAACCCAGCAAACACTGTTACAGATCTGTTACAGAACTGTGACAAATAATTGAAGAACATGTGATGTAACTGGTGACTCACAGGGGACTCACTGGGTACGCAAAATGTCGTAGTCAGAAGGTTGTCACAGTTAAGTAACAGATCTGTAACATGGTGACGAAGATACTTGTCACAGTTCTAGAACAGTTACAAATTTCTGTTACTCATATCTGTCATTAAAAAATATTTTAATTAAAATTAAAAAAATATTCCACGCTGTTCTCGCATGTCATACATACCCGGAATATTTATACATGTCGAAGAAAATTTGTTTTGCTATTTATTTAAATATTTACAACCACGAGGTCTCGAACGCAAGACGCAGCTAGGAGTGGATTATAAATCAAACGCTCTACCAACTGCGCCACGGAGGCTCATGAAAGGAAGTTTAGAATTTACATATATATAACGAAGGAACTATGAAAATGTGCTTTGTAACTTGAAAAAGGATACTGTATTTGCAACAATAGTATAATTATGTTATGTATAATATACATTATATTTAATAATGTTAATTGAAAAATGTAAATTTTCAAAGTTACAAGCATAAGGAAAGGCTTAAAAATTACTTTTTAAATGAAAGATTAAAGCAATAAATTTAAGCTTAATTAATGAAATTTCTACATTTTTATAACAAATTTATATTCTATAATTTTTCATTTAAATATAAATAGATTTTACAAAATTCTTTGTGAAATTAATTTATCAAAAAAATTTGCTATTACGAATAATAATAATGCCAAACAATTAACGAATAATTACATTCTCGATTACATTACATGCACCTTTAAAACATTTATGAGACTTTTATACATAATAATATTGTTTAAATAGTCACTAGAAGAATAATAAAACTGAAGAAAATTTAAAGATAGAGTAAAAAATGCTACTGATAGTAGTATAAAAGAAATAAGAAAGCATTTTGTTGTCAATAATTACTATATGAGTGATTCTCCACAAAGTGGTAACTTTTGAATATGTTAAAATTTTCTTTTTTAATTAAATTTTTTGGAAATTTTTTATTTAGATCTTTTTAATAAAGCTTGAAAATGATTATTTTATAGATATTTGAGTTTAATTCTTTCTTTAGTTTTATATACAAACAATTTAAAAATTTGTAATTTAAAGGTTAAATAATTTATTTGAAAAAGTTAATTTTCGACTGTGAATAATTATAAATAGTGTAAATAAGCAAATAATTACTTTAAACTGCTTTAATAAATAAATAAATAATATTTTTACTCATACCTGTTATTGAAATTACTTGTTTTGATACAGGTTAATCGAGGTTAATAATATTTATTCAAGAAAACAAAACACTTCCATTACGCGAAACGAAATTAGGAACTGGAGTTTACAGGAACTGGAGTTTACAAATCAAAGAAAAAAATTCATTGAAACCGTAAAAATTCATAAAAATAAACAATTTTTGCAGATTATTAAAGAGATTTGCTTACTCTAAATCACTATTATTTTTATTTTTTTTATACATTTAGAATTCGGCAATTTTGTCGGGTATGGAGTTACATACCATTAAAATACGCTATAAAATAATAGTAACTTTTGTAGTTTTAAATCTAAAAATTATATTTCTTTTTGCAAATTTAACATAAATACAACTTATTAACTTAATAATATTAATGGCAAATAAAATCGCACTAAAAAAGGGAATAAAATTAATGAAAATCAATGAAATTGTAAACTCCAGTTCTAAATAAAAAAAG